AAAAAAAAAAAAAAGGAAAATCACCATTTAGCAAAACCATAGTAAAAACTGATTAAGAGTTGTTGGAGGAAATGGCAATGGAGGAAGGGCTTACAGAGTGCCTACATAAAATGGTTACAAGTACTGGGAACAGTAAACCGCGGCAAACTGTGTCAGGCCACTGGGGAGCGAACTTCTCTAAGCCTCCATGTTCCAGGTGCAGAGTGCCCTTGCCTCTGTTACAGTACATAACATGTTCAAGGGCTTAAAACCCCTTTTGTAGCATTACAAAGTAACCAGACTTGTAGGCTCCTTGTGAGACTCACTCCCTCCGGCTGCGGCTGCTAATGCGGCTGCGCCTAGGCTACAATCTTTAAATAAAACACATGCTTCTGCTTTTCAAAGTTTCTCACGAAGCTGCCACTGCTAGCAATCTAGAATGACACCCCAGTTTCTGTTCACCAAAGATTGCTCCAGGGTCATGCCACCCTCTCTCCACTATCACATCACCTTCACCCCACCATCTGCTGACTGCTCAAAGTGATTGTAACCCATAAATATTGTAGGGAACCTAAGCTCGGGGCCTTCACTGCCTCCAGTGCAAAGTGATGGTCCCCTGGTCCAACTTTCATTCTTAATCTCTTTTTCTCATTTCTTTGTCGCCACCGAACTCAGGGTACCCATGGATGGGGTGTAGGGGCTGATTCTCTGCCAGAGTCAGCAACGGATGTCAAAACAACTGGGTGAAAGTTGGATGAGGAGCAAGATATTTACATAGAGAGTTGCCAGATGTGGCAAATAAAAACACAAGATGCCCAATCAAATTAGAATTTTAGATAAACACTTTTGGGAGATCATATTTATACTTTAAAAAGTATTTGTGGTTTATCTGGACTTCAGATTTAACTGGGCTTCCTGTATTTTTTCTCTCAAACCTTTTACATAGTCTCAAAGTATCTCTCCCGCAAAGAAACTTAAAAACAAAAAAGGAGGGCTGGGCATTGTGGCTCACACCTGTAATCCCAGCACTTTGGGAGGCTGAGGTGGCAGATCACCTGAAGCCAGGAGTTCGAGACCAGCCTGGCCAACATGGTGAAACCCTGTTTCTACTAAAATTAGCCAGGTGTGGTGGCGCCCGCCTGTAGTCCCAGCTACTGGGGAGACTGAGGCACGAGAATCGCTTGAACCTGGGACACGGAAGTTGTGGTGAGGCAAGATCATGCCATTGCACTCCAGCCTGGGCAACAGAGTAAGACTCCGTCTCAAAAAAAAAAAGCAAAATGGTAAATTTACAGTGAAGAAACCTGACAGTTACTGCCTCAACCAAGTAATCAAAGTTAGCAGCACCCAGTAATGGAACACACATTATGTGCCTTCTGATAGGATGCACTGAGGGGACACATCACTTTGTAGCTCTTAACAAGTCTGTATATTTAATAAAGTGAGTTTTCGAAACCAATGAGTCTCCTAAAAGCGGTTACAGATTCTTCATTTCACATTGAGAAGAGAAATCACAGATTAGAATGTTAAAACTGTCCAGGGGAAAAAAAAAAAAAAAACAGTCCTGAAGCATTGGAACACACCTGTAGATCTTAATCTATTCACAAGGAAATATCAGACGAGTCCAAAGTAAGAGATAGTCTACAAGATAAATCACTTGTACTCTTGACAGCTAGAAGCCCGTGAAAGACAAAGAATGAGAAACTGTTTTCAATTAAAGGAGCCTGGACATGACAGCTAAATGCTGTTGATTCTGGATCAGATTCTGGACCAAAACCTTTTTGTCTTTCTTTTTTTCTCTTTCTTTCTTTTTTTTTTTCTCTCTTTGCTACAGATGACATTATAAGACAATTGGCAAAATAGGAATAAAGTCTGCAACTAGCTAATAGCATTGTATCATGAAATCGTTGATTTCCTGATTTAACTAATTGCATTGCGAAAATGTAAGAGAATATATTGCACTTGCTTCTAGAACTGAAGGACCATGCCTGCAACTTCCTTTTGAACAGTTCAGAAAAAAACACAATGCTTTGTCTGTATGAGTTGACTAGGGCTGCCACAACAAAATAACACTGACTGAGTCGTTTAAACAACAGAAATGGGCTGAGTGTGGTGGCTCACACCTGTAATCCCAGCACTTTGGGAGGCCGAGGCAGGTGGATCACCTGAGGTCAGGATTTTGAGACCAGCCTGGCCAACATGGTGAAACCCTGTCTCTACTAAAAATACAAAAATTAGTTGGGCGTGGTGGCACATGCCTGTAGTCCCAGCTACTTCGGAGGCTGAGGCAGGAGAATTTTTTTAATCCAGTAGGTGGAGGTTGCAGTGAGCCGAGATGGCACCACTGCACTCCAGCCTGGGCAACGGTGAGACTTGGCCTTAAAAAAAAAACGGAAGAGAGAAATATATTTTCTCACAGCTCTGGAGGCTAGAAGTAAAGGTCAAGGTGTTGGCAGGATTAGTTTCTCCTGATGCTTGCAGTCCTTGGCTTGCAGAGGGCTGCCTGCTTGCTGTGTTGTGGCCTTTGCTGTGTGCACATGCAACACTGATGTCTCTCTCTGAATGTCTTTTTGTGGGTCAAGATGGCAGGGGGAGACCTATGTTAATTCTAGCTAAATAATTACAAGCTTCCTTGGCTCAGAATACTGATGTTTATATACCGAACTAAACAATATTTTTACTGGTGCAGTTAATTAGAAATCAAACAGCAACAGGAGGCCTAAGGTAAAGACTATCGGAGAGCACAGTAACAACGGGGAACACCTTGGGGTGGCTGCAGAGCAGGCAAGATACTGCTGTGGTCCCACACATGCCTTCTCAACATAGAGACTGCACGAGGGTCTCGTAAAGAGGGCTCAGGCAAAGATCTCTGAGAAGGGAGGCGACCTCTGCCCACAAGATCTGGGAGGGTCGTTGCAGATGGGAGCTGGCAAGGAGGAGAAAAGCCTTGCAGGGCAGAAATCACGGAACATCTCAGGCTCTGCCTAGGTTCTTGGAATATGGAGTGATTTTAATTGCTCTATGTCCTCAATGCTTGGGAGATAAAAGCCCCTTGATGCATTGGGAGTGGTCAGACCGGGTGGCTCCTCATCCGCTATACTTCTGATGCAGCTGCACCCTGATAACAATCGGTGATAAACTCAGAGTACCAGTTTAGAATGTCTTAGAAGGATCTCAAGTGCTCTCCCCCTCCATCTTACCTACCCCTTCACCCTCCCCTTCCATGCCCATAAGAGCAATGAGATTGTGCACATAATAAGAGTGTTTGGAACCCAGAGCTCAGGGCCAACGCAGTTCCCACGCTTGCGTTGGTCCCCTGGACCCATGCTGTAACTTTTACTCCTGTGTCTTTGTCTTTATTTCCTTTTCTCAAACCCTCGTCACCACCGGGACTAAGGTCACCAACGTACAGGGTTGGGACTGGTACCCAACATCATTTATTATTTTACTTTTTTTGTTGTTGTTTTGAGACATGATCTCTCTCATCGCCCAAGCTGAAGTGCAATGGCACCATCTCAGCTCACTGCAGCCTCAACCTCCTGGACTCAGGTGATCCTCCCACCTCAGCCTCCCCAGTAGCTGGTACTGTAGTCATGCACCACCACACCAGCCTAATTTTTTTGTAGTTTTAGTAGAGACCAGGCTTCACCATGCTGCCCAGGTTGGTCTTGAACTCTTGGCCTGAAGGAATTCACCCATCTCTGCCTCCCAAAGTGCTAGGATTATAGGCATGAGTCACCAGGCCCGGCCTCTCTGAATGTCTTGATCTCCTCTTATAAAGAAACCAGTCAGATTAATTTAGAGCCCATCCTAACGGCCCCGTTTTAACCTAATCATTGTTTTAGAGGCTTATTTCCAAATACAATCACATTCCAAGGTTAGAGTGTCAACACTGAATTTTGGAGAGGATACAATTTGGTCCATAACAATGTATATACATAAAACAAGCGGCAAATGTAAAATATTAGCAACTAGAGAATCTAGGGAAGAGTATACAAGTATTCTTTGAACTTTTACGGTAACCTTTCTGTATGTCTGAAATAATGTCAAAAATTTTTTAAGGGGGTGCATCCTGGGT